GGCTTGCCGCTCGGGCCTCGCTGCTCTCCCACCCAAGCGGCGGCGGTGAGGGACGCTCTGTCACTTTTTTGGGGGATTTAAGTATCCCCCTGATATTTTTTTCAGGTTTTTAGATTTTTGTGCACACCTGGGGACTGCCCCAAGTGTGCACAAAAATCTCCCTCCCCCCCAGATGCCCCTGATACGCGGATTTAGGTATCCGCACGCAGGGGGTGCCTTTTGCTATTAGATATATAGATTATGTTTCTTTTCTTGGCTTTCATGATCACAGTTTGCTATAATGTCCAAACAAGGCAAATGATGGTTAGTGGTAACCAGGAGTCCATATTTTAGTTTGAAGCCATATTTTAACTCTGAAGTTGGTTTGCAAACCATTATTTGAAGGCAATTCCTGGTGAGCTTGTTGGGAAAGCAAAATCATTACTGCTAAAGAAACTCCTCTATTGACACTTTTGGAAATGGAAAGTGTAAGCCATATCTGCTGAATGGGAGGAGTGGGTTGTAGCAGTTAGTGGGAAGGGGAAGTATGGATAGGCAAGTGTAAAGTTGGGTATTAGCACACATTTCCCCAAGTCCTAATACTTGTATACTAATTCTGTTGTTGACTCTACTCTAACTCAGATTAATTTTTTGATTCCTCCCTTCTATGTGTAAATAAATAAGTGGCTCAATAAAGTTCAGGAGGATGTTATCCCACAATAACTACTTTTGCAAACAGCTGTTGTGATAGATAAACTCTGGTTACAGGATTTCCAGCTTCTGGCTAAATATTTTACTTGATGTTTTTGGATGGGGAAAAGCATCCAAACTAGATGGAAATTATTCAGTGAGTTGCATGGATGTTTCAGAATATAAAGCATCTGTTTCCAGGCATGCAACCAGCTTTTTAGCATGAAATTAAAAGGGACCACCATTCATCTTGTTTTTCAATTAAATTTAAATTCTGCTTGTCTGGAATCAGACACAATTTTTTGTCCTGAGTGGTAACAGCTGGCCTTGAACTAAGTTCCAAAGGCAGGCAGTCTCTGTCTCCCCCTCTCTCCCACAAATCCCATAATCTCTCATGTTCATTTAAGATAACATTAAAAATTGTTGTCTTTGGCCCTGTTCTTGAAAATTCTTAAAAGCCGTCAGCAAACACATGGCTGCCATCTCTGCATCAGGACTGTGTCACTACCTTTAAAACATGGCAACTTGTTTGCTCCTCATTCCTGTAGACCCGTTCACTATTTTCAATGCTTTCAATGCTTCTTTTTTGTGCTCATGGGAAAAAGCAGTAGGGTCCAAGATGTACATCTGGGAAAATCTTAGCTTACAAATTACCAGAACAATATTTTTACTATCACTACAAACCCCCCCCCCTTTGCTTTGTAACGTATAGTCCTATAATTTAAAAAGCAGAAACCAATCAACTCACACCAAAGATATAATTTGAAACAACCTTGTACTGTTTCAGCCATAGAAATGTTTACCATTTTCTAGATTTTGTAGTGCCATTACAACCATTCAATTCATAAGCGTAGCCCAGTGGCAAGTCTGGGGTGGGGGGGCACAACTCCATAACTGATTTATTTAAAACGACTATTGAATCGAAGCAGAAGGCACAAAAATTCTATTTATTATGTCAGTCAGCTTCTGCCTTGCATTGTCAAGAGTTTTAACTAAATCTCCATAATGAAAATAACATCAAATGGGGAACTGTCAATCAGAGTGATGATGGGAAAAATACATAAATATTTATTTCTCTCACACTACAGTACCCCCCAGCCTTCCTCTGAGGGATTCAGGGCAACATACAGGGAACTCTCTGATTTTATTCTCACAATAATCCTCTGAAGAACCTTAGAGTGAGAGAGAGTAACTTGCTCAAGGCTAGCCCAGTGAGCCTGAGGGTTTTTGAAAGGCTGCTGAAAACACGTTTCTTCCCCTTGGCTTTCCTTTTCCTTTGTTTTCATTCCCCTTCCGTGCCTTACTAAAGGAGCCTCACTACAGTCCAATCCTGTACACTAGTAGAAGAAAAGGTAAAACTTTAGTCAAGAATGAGTTTTTGAAGCACAGATTTGGAATTCTTACGTTTTTTCCTATAGTGGTGTTTTCTACAAGTTATGTAGCTCTTGGATTCTGTGAGGGTTATTCTTAGTTACCTGAGCCACTTTTGCATCCTTATGACTTTAGCCAGCTTGATTACTATGTACGAGCCTATTCACTAATGTTATGCCTGACTAACCTAATGGGCTAATGTGTGGTGTTGGAGAGTTATTGTGGACCGCCAAAAAGAAAACTGAGTTCTATGTCAAAGCAAGCCTGAATTCTCTCTAGAAGTTAAAATGACTAAACTGAAGTTATCGATAGGATTGCCAGGCAGGAGCAGAGGAAGACCCATCATGAGATGGATTGGTTCAATAATAGAAGCTACAGCTTCTACAGTCTATTAGTATGCAAGGCTGCTAATGATAGGACATTTTGGAGCTCATTAATTTAGTAGGGTTGCCATAAGCCAGAAACAAATTGACAGAAGTACATAAGAAGAGCCCTGGTCCATCTAGTCCAGCATTCTGTCTCACACAGAGGCCAACCAGTTCCTCTAGACAGAGGTCCAACAACAAGTCACACATGCTTTCCCCTGATGTTGTCTTCTGGAACTGGGATTCAGAGGTTGACTGCCTCTGAATGTGGAGGCTCCCTTTAGTCACTGATAGATTTATGGAAGATAGATTCATGGAAGATAGATCTCTATCTGATTCCCTTTTAAATCTGTTTGTTCCTGTAGCCATCACTACATCCTCTGGAACAGGGCTATTTTTGGGCAGGAACGCACAGGAACGGAGTTCTGGCTGGCTTCCAAGTTGGCCACACCCAGCAGGAACTCATTAGCATAATAGGCCACACCCAACACCAGAAACTCATTAGGATTGGCTACATTAGGGGTGTGTGGCCTAACATGCAAAGGAGTTCCTGCTACAAAAAAGCCCTGGGTAAACAGAATAAGAAGCAAAAGGTGGGTGTGGCTGGATGAGCACACTTCTGGTAACATTGGGGTGCGGCCTAATATACCAATAAGTTGTGCTGTCAGGGGTGTGGCCTAATATGCTAATGAGTTTCTGCTGTTGGGTGTGGCCTATTATGCTAATGAGTTCCTGCTGGGCTTTTTCTACAAAAAAAGCACTGCTCTGGCAGCGAATTCCACATTTTAATCACTTGCTGTGTAAAGAATTGTTTCCTTTTGTCCACCCTGAATCTACTGCCCATCAGCTTCACTGGATGCCTTTGAGTTCTAGTATTTTGGGAGAGGGATAAATGCTCTCTTTGACAACTCTCTCCACTCCATGCATAATTCTGTAAACCTCTATCATGTCCTCCCCCTAGCCATCTTTTTTCTAAACTGAAAAGTCCCAGGCTCTTCAGCCTTTCCTCACAAGGAAGGTGCTCCGACCCCCTAATCATCGTGGTTGCTGCTTCTGTATTTTTTGCGACATGGTGACCAGAACCGTTCACAGTTTTCCAATAGATCTATAATATCACCTGTTTTATTTTCAATCCCTTTCCTAAGAATCCCAAACATAGAGCTTGCCTT